CTATCTCCTCTGTGGACTTCTCTGATTCTTTCTGTTCCGGAATGCCAATAATTCTTAAGTTGTTCCTCTTCATGTTATCCAACCTGAATCTTAGACTCTCTTCAGGATTTTTTATCCTTTTTTCTGCTTGCTCTTCTCTCTTAGCAGTATTGAAAGATTTGTCTTCCATCTTGCTGTTTCTGGCTTCCATCTCTTCCATTCTGCTCCTTTGCCCTTTCAGTGTATTGTCCATTACTGATATTTTATTATTAATCATCTGGACTTCTTTTTGTAGGTTTTGAATTGTTTCCAGTGCTGTATCGATCTTGTTTGATTGCTCTAGTAGTACTTTTCTGACTTCTTCCTTGTTTTCTTTCACCCCTTTTCAGAGCATTTGAATTTGTTTCCATCTTCTTCTGAATTCCTTCTCAGGCAATTACTAAAACCTGCTCTTCCTCTTCTGTGGAGCTTTTGTCTGTCTCCAGCTCCTTTGCCTCAGTTACTCTTTTCTGGTTTTGGACATATTTTGAGATATTTTGTTGTGTTTTATTGGTCATTTCCAGTAGTTGTATGAATTTTTAATGCTTAAATGTATGTATGTTGCTGTGTTATTAAGCTTGCTGGGTGTCTCCTGGTGGCTATGATCTGGAGATAGGCTTCCCTTTTTGCATGTAATGCTTGACATCTGTTACTGGCTCCTGTCTCAATGATGGAATATTATGTGGTATGCTTGCAGCTTGGCTATATGACCACGATTGCAGTCTCTTCTTGGGTAATGTAGGGAGAAAAAGCTCCCTCCTCCAGGAAAGTATGTGATCAAAAGGACCAAAAACAGAAGCAATATAAAAGCACAGACAAAACCCACCACTTTGAAACAAAAATAAAACTGTGGCTGACTGGACTTGCTACACAGCATTGTGTATTCACCATAGAGGCCTCCAGCAGTGCGTGGGGGTGTCTGCTCGCTCAGGCCCCGCCTCTAGTCACTACTGTAGAGGTGCATAGATAGATATTGAGAAGTTAATGGGAGAAAGATTGTCTACTATTTTTATCTCTGAAGGTCAGTTAGGTAGCTTCGTGTGCACAGCATAATTCTTGAGATAGTTGCAGCTTTTTATGTTAGGTTTTACAGATTGTTCATATGGTTTGTCTGTCAGGCCTGACAGGCCTGCTTTTTTCTTGCTGGATATGCTGGAGTAAAGGGTCCTGCACTAGTTAATTTTAGGGCTGTGACCAAGAGGCTGATGTCATAATCAGCTGCCAAAGAATTTGCCCTTGGGTCTGATAGAGCTCTTTCCCTCTGTGCCGTGGGAAAACTTTTGGACTTTTTTTGAGGGGATGTGCACCCACCCACCTAAAGGCATCCACGCTAGGCAAACAAGGTGTGACAGGGAAGAGGAGGAAAAAGATGTGTAGAATTCTCCTGCATCTTGTTTTGCAAATGTCACTGAACTGCTTTTAGCGCCAGTTCCTTGTGCCAGCTTGGCTTTAGCCTCATCTTCTGAACTCCACCCAGGAGTTACAATGAAGAAAAGATGAAATAAAAAAAGCACGTCAGGGTTGCAATATCATTTCATTTTGAAACTTTATTTTTAATGCTTATCTTAAAAAGAGTTGTTGTCAAGTGCTGCCAAGTCCATTCCAATTCATAGTGACCCTGTATAGTGTTTCTGAGAAGCAGGTGGTGAGTTTGAACTGCCAACCTTGCGGTCCAGTGCATTCCCTGGAAAGACTGCCTTGTTTGTTGTTGTTAAGTGCTGTCAAGTCAATTCTGACTCATAGGACCCTGTATAGGGTTTCTAAAGAACAGCTGGTGGGTCTGAGCTGTCTACATTGTGGTTCACATTCTAGTACGTCAGCCTATGGTACCACACCAGGAAGCCTTAGAAAGAGTTATTATTTTTGTTAGGTGCCATCGAGTCGATACTGACTCATAGTGACCCTATGAACAACAGAATGAAACACTGCCTGATTCTGGGCCAACCTTACTATTGTTGCCACACTTGAGCCCATTAATGCTGCCACTTTTCCAATCCATCTTGTTGGGAGTCTTCTTCTTTTCTCTGACCCTCCACCTTACCAAACATGATCTCCTTCTCTAGCAACTGGCCCCTCCTGACAATATGTCTGAAGTATGAGAGATGATGTTTGGCCATCCTGTCCTGGCCTCCAAGGAACCCTCTGGCTGCACTTCTTCCAACACACATCTGTTGGTTCTTTAGGCAGCCCATGGCACTTTCAGTATTCTCCTCCAACACCATAACCCCAAAGCATCAATTCTTCTATGGTTCTCCGTGTTCACTATCCAACTTTCGCATGCATATGAAGTTATTGAAAATACCATGGCTTGGGTCAGGTGCACCTTAGTCCTCAAGCTGACATCTTTGCTCTTCAACCCTTTAAAAAGGTCTTGTGCAGCAGGTTTGCCCAATACAATGCATCATTTGATTTCTTGACTGCTGCTTCCGTGAGTGTTGATAGTTGATCCAAGAAGAATGAAGTCCTTGACAACTTCAATCTTTTCTCCATTGAAAAGAATGTTGTTTATTGGTCCAGTGGTGAGGATTTTTGTTTCCTTTACATTGAGATGCAATCCATATCAAAGGCTGTGCTCTTTGATCTTTATCAGTAAATGTTTTAAGTCCTCTTCATTGTTGTATCATCTGCATATTGCAGGTTGTTAATGAGTCTTCCTCTAAACCTGATGTCATGTTTTTCTTCATATAACCCAGCTTCTCAGATTATTTGCTCAGCATACAGGTTGAATAAGTATGGTGAAAGAGTACAACCCTGTTGCATGCCTTAATTTGAAACCATTCAATGTTCCCATGTTCTGTTCGAACAACTGCCTCTTGGTCCAGGTACAGATTCCTCATGAGCACAATTAAGTGTTCCAGAATACTCATACTCCACAATGTTGTCCGTAGCTTGCCATGATCCACACAATCGAAATCCTTTGTGTAGTCAGTAAAGCACAGGTCGGAGAGGTTAATTGATTACAATATCATACTAATCTTTTTATTAAGGAAACCTGATGTGGCACTGTGGGTAAATGTGCTGGACTGCAAGGTCTGTTTGAACCACAAGGCCGGCAGTTCAAACTCACCAGCCACTCTGTGGAAACCCTATATAAAATTGATGTGAGTCAGAATCTACTTGACAGCACTTAGTGACAACAACAACAATTGTTAATGAGTCCTGATGACGTTGTAGGATAAGCGTTGGACTGCTATGCTAACTACAAGGTTGGTGGTTAAAACCAACTTGGCTGCTTCACAGGAAAAAGATGAGGCTGTCTTCTCCCTTAAAGATTTACAGTCTCGGAAACCTTATGTAGGGTTGTTGTGAGCTGAAATTGATTCAGTGACAGTTGGTTTTGGTTTGACTACTACTAAATGTTAAGGGCTGTCAAGTCGGACTCATAGCGATCCTGTGTAGGTTTGTTCTAATTGTTAGAATGCAGATCAAGTTTTGTCTCTAATGTTTGTTTACTTATCCTGATTTTATATAAAGTACCTAAAAGATTATAAACCATTTTCTAGATTTTAAATTACAGCCCTATAAAGGTGGAAAAGTTGAAATGACTCCAATATAAAATAATAGGGAAATGATTTAGGAAAGTGATACTTTAGGAGACTGGAAAATGGAAATTGTTTATGATAAAATGATACAGGAAGATAAAAGTAAAAATGAAAATTCTATACACTAGTACTGCAACGGTGTAGCACGAGATTTCTGCACCCTTATGTGATCATTGTTACTATGTTAAAATATTGGAGTTAGAGATTTTCTTTCTACATGTACTTTTGCACTGCTTTTATAATGTAAGACTGTTTCAAAACTTCAAGGGAAGAACCAAATACATCTGAATCCTAACCTGACTACCCTAAACAATAGAGTGCAGCCTTCTTGAGGTTAGATTGAAACTTTGTTCCATTTACTGCTAAATTCTGAAATTCTGAAATAGTAACAGACTCCGAAAACTGCTTGAATGAACATACTACAAAAAGTAAAAGTATATAGCCAGGGTGGTCCTACTTTTATGGGAGAATAAGATTCGGTTACTTTAGAGGTTTGAATTATGATTCATTTGTTTTTTTCATTCCTATCTCAGGTGGCCATATGCTTTCTTCAGGGTACTTAATAATACAGAAGTGTTACCGAGCTGCTCAGAGACTTTTTTAACAAGGATCTATTCTTTTAGAACCAGATGGTCAAAGAGCTGGAGGCCCGTGTCCAGCAGCTGACTGGAGAAGCAGAGAACAGTAATTTACAGAGGCAGAAATTAATTCAGGAAAAAGTGGAACTTGAAAGATGTTACCAGATAACGTGCAGTGAATTACAAGAAGTAAAAGCAAGGTATAATCTGAAATCTAATGTTAGGTGTGGCTATAAAGTACTAACACAGACTCTCTCAATCACCTTATGTATTTGAAAGGAGCCCTAGTGCCGTGGTTATGTGCTTGACTGTTAACTGAGAGGTAGACGGTTCAAACCCACCAGCCTCTCCATGGATGAAAGATGTGTACAGTCAGCTTCTGTAAAGATGACAGCCTTGGGAACCCTGTGACAATTCTACTCTGTCCTACAGGGTCGCTGTGGGTCACAATCAGCTGAACAGTAGTAGATTTATACAGTTGACCTTGGGAAGTTTCCAAACAAAATAGGTGGGGTTTTTTTAAGTGTCAACTAATATAAGAAGCATAATATTTAAACGTTAACAAATATGTGAATAATTTTTTGATATACTTAAAGGGAATATATTTGACTTTGGTTGGCTAAAAACAGTCTATTTTAGAGATAGATTCTAGAAATAATGGAAGTCTGTTTTATTCTCTTATTGATTTTAGGCGTAACACACTGCATAAGGAGAAAGATCAGCTTGTAAACGAATACGAGCAAAACATGAAGCTGTTACAAGCCAAATACGATGCTGATATAAACCTTCTGAAGCAAGAACATGCTCTTTCAGCTTCAAAGGTATTAAATATGCTGCTCGATACCTCCACCCACAGTGGTTATTTACTTACTCAGCATTTAGCCATAGAACCGAAGTAAAAAGTTACTGTTTGACATTTGAAATGAGACTCTGTCTTGCTTTATTGACCAAAATCTCTGAAACTTCAAAACTGTCAGGTGACGTTTACAATATTTGGAGTACTAGATATGTGAGATTTATAGTATAATAGGAACATTTAATAAGCTACCTTCTACCAGAAAAGGCAACCATTTCACATAAAAATTGGAGAAAATTCTTCACTGTCTTAATAATGCAATATGTAGAATAATGATACAAGTTATTAGTAATAGTTTTCAAATCTGGGTTCTGCTTTATTTTTCTTGATGTCACACATCCATGGATAAGCTCATAGGACCCTCAGCTGTACCAAGACACTTTCGTGTCAGATAACTGATGCCTTCTTTAAAGTGAGTCTGATAGCTACAGTCCTTGATACCTTATGAATGAAAGATTCCATGGATTTGGTTTTGAAATGAAAAGTTAAGTTTTCTCTAAGGTTATTCTTTCGACATCAATGTTATATAGTTTTTTAACAACAGATACTCTGTAGAAGTGTACATGTTTACCTGAAAAGTTTGACTTCTGTAGTTGTCTGGAAAAGCATTTTAAAGTGCAGATTCATAGATGATTTCCATTCTAATTGAACTTTCAGGAAAAAAGATAAGCTTATTGTATCAGAAATTATAGGGTGGTGCAAAAATCAATATTCTTCTGTCTAATCTTCTGAATATATCTATTAGGCATCTGGTTTGAATGAAGAATTAGAACAGACCATCTGTTTATTAAAAGAGAAGCTGCAGGAATCAGAACATCAAAACATGCAACAACTAAAGGTGAATTATGTATTTTTACATAGAATAATGACCAAAAACTCCCCTTTCCTTTTCTTGATTTCTATGTATAAATGAGTCTTTTATTGTATTGCATCATTTTCTACTTTATTTTACTAACAAAAGTAAATGTAATGGATATGAAGGCCAGAGAATAATTTTAATCATCTTTTCTGAGATTACTTTTTAGTATGAATCTCATCTCACTATACCACATTTTTTTTTTTTTTTGCACACAATGGACCCATGTAAATAGCATGTGCACATACAGATGCACAGAGCACATGTATAGGGGCCTAGCATGCAAGGAGCTGGAGTGGTTTGCTAAAAGATCTGTAATGTGTTCCTCTCTTTCAAATTATTGTCGACCCATTTGAGAAGCTGTCTGTCCTTTTCTCTTTCACGTTTACTCTCACTCTGTCTTTTTGTCCGTCTTTCTTTTCTTGTGTTCAGAAAGTACCCAGAATTTGTATATGGTGCAGCTTCAAGTTTCTCAGTTCCATATTGACTTATATTGGTCAGTTTAAAGTAATTTTCGAATCCTAAGGGTGAAAAAGCTTTCGCTGTGCTTTTGAGAGTAGTGGCATCTTGAAACCGAGATGTTTTTTTTCCCCACATCACAAAGCTGGTTGTCCTTCTACTTGTGGCTTACAAAATTGGGCAGATGGAGCTCAATTAATCGTAAGTACAATTTGAAATAAAGCTTGTCGTTGTGTTGATTAACTGATTTCATTAGACTGCCAATTTTATTAACTCTAGTACCAAATTTAGTTATAATGAAAACAAATTTTTCCTTCACAGGATCAAGAAACTAAACTTCAAATGGAGAAAAGCCATCTAAAGCGCAACTATGAAAAAAAGGTAATGTGTTTTCCAGGAAGTAGAGTCCTGGTGTGGAGCTGTAGGGTTCACAGCTTAGAAAGTCTGTGGGACAAGGCCACTCTGCCCTGCAGGCTGCGGGGAGTCGGAATGACCTCAGCAGCAGTGGGCTTGGCTGTATCAGACATGTTGTTGTTGTTGTTATGTGCCTGGAGCCGGTTCCGACTCATAGTGACCCTGTACAGGGTTTCTGAGGCTGTAAATCTTTACGGGAGCAGAAAACCCCATCTTTCTTCTGCGGAACAGCTGGTAAAGTTTCGAACTGCTGACCCTGAGGATAGCAGCCCAATTCGTAACCACTATGCTACCAGAGCTCCTGTATCAGACATAGGGAAGGTAAAATAAACAAAACAAAAAAACAGGCAGAGATTTTGTTGCTGCTTTTATCACTATTTCCTGTTTTGATGTTAACTTGTGAAATATACACATAATATAAAATGAGAAAAAGACTAACTCCTCAACTGTTTAAATGTATGCAAACACAACTCATGTCACAAAATTCAAGTGTGGCACTGTGGGTGAATGTGCCAGACTGCAAAGCCGTTTGAACTGCGAGGTCGGTGGTTCAAGCTCACCAGCTTCTCCTTGGAAACCCTATCCAGGGTGGCTATGGGTCGGAACCAACTCGACGGCACTTGACAACAACAGCTCTTTTATAAAAGTATTTCTTATTGCTGCAGTTCCAGTTCAGCTCACTGCAAGGTCTTATATCTCTTTCATGACTACAAAGTGATACCCAAAGAGGAAGGGGAGATACTGTTTTCATTGAAAGAATTTCTTCCGTTTCTATGGTTGAGCCAAGAGAGTGCCTGTCGTTAGCCTCGCCTCCCACTGGATAAGGCCTTGACATCCTCTGGGTGCACTGCCAGTCTGTTGTTGATTCTTCGGGCAGCTCTCTAGCTTCGCATTCTTTAGGGCACACTTTCCTGGGCTCCTGCTCTGTTGTACTCTGTGGTCAGCCCCCTTCCTGAGAGATGATATCTGTGTACCTGGGAGCCAGACAAAGGGGCTGGTGACAAGAAAAGCACACACTTATCAGTGACTATACCTGTAAATGAATATGCTGCATTGCCAAACTTTTTAAATCCTACTGAGGACTGTTAGAGAGATACAAGTAGAAAGACAGTCTTTCTCCTACTATCTTTTGCAGGGGGAGAGGTTACTTAGCTCCTAAGTAAACTAAGGTTGCTGTATCAGTCTCTCTCTCTGATGGGCAGACACAAGAAAGGAAATATTAGAGCATCCTTCATCTTTATCCAGGAACCTCCTGACCATTCCTATTGTGTTTCACACCAGGGAGCAGACCGAGGGGCTCTTTATTAAGCTTCAAAACTAGAATGGTCCATTTCCACGAGATATCAGCTTGCCTGGCTTTTTAGTAAAGTAACTCGTTAAAGTGTGTTAATTGTTTTCAATGTAAATAAGACTTGTTTAAAATAATAGCAATCTTTAAAAGAAAAATAAGCATGTTTGTGTACATGGCATGTGTCCCTCACATTATTTATATTGGAAGAAAATGTTGCTCAGCATGTTATTTTTTGTTTTACAATTAATTCCATCATCTCCCTCTTTTAAATTGACATCTGTTCTTCTTCCTTTATTAAACCTGCTGTGATCTCCAGCCTTGAAGATTTGATGTCTTGTACCCCCCTCGGGGAATATCCTTTTAGAAAGAGCTGACATAAATCTGACACAGCCCCGAACGGTGGAACTAGATATCTCAATGGAATGTATAGAGCTTTTGTTTCGTAGGCACTGTCACAGGTGTGCACGTTCAGTAACTTTTGGTGTAAAACTTCATTCTGAATGTGTAGTCAGGATGTGGAAATGCCATCAGGATGACATGATTTCCTCCTGCCAACAAGAAAGCAACATGGCGGGAGGATACCGTCCTGGCTTGTCTGGGAGGCGGGAGTCACGGCATCTGACGCTGTTCCTCATTTAAGCACACACACATTATTACCTCATGGTCTTTATTGATCTGGAGTGGCCAGTGCCTGCTCTTAAGATCTTTGAACATCAAACAAATAATGGGTAGTCAAACTCAATGTCATTGTTTGATGAAGTGTCCTAATCTGTGAAATCAGGAAATGGTTAGGCTAACTGATTTTACTAGTAAGGAAGCACCTGCCTCCTACAAATAACCCATTGCGTGTTTTCCAAACAGGCACCAGAGAGGCAAAGATGGAGCTGTTTACCTAGAGAAGTTCATGAGGCAGATGTGAAGCATGTATAGTCCCAAGTGTGCTAAAATTGAAATGTCGATGTAAAAATCCTTCTCATGTAACTATTTCACAACTGAGAGATGAGTCTGACGGAGTGTCAGATCACGGACATAGATTTCTCTCTGTTTTTGGCATTTATGATGTCATTCTTTTAATTGAGTTCAAGTCATTTAAAATTTCCACAGCCTTGCAATATCTTATAACACATGTAACTTTTTTTTTACCCCAAACTTGACTCATTAAGTGGCTTTTTTTCCTACAGGCATGATTTCATTATTTAAAGATGTGTGCCTTTCTTTATTGAAGTTTTTAAAATGAGCTTGTGCAATGAAAAGATTTATAAAAGTTGTACAGTCCAGTTCCTCATATTTTTCATTTTGGGAAGCAGTTTTTAGAGAGGCTAAGAGGCAGAGGGGAGTCGATATTTGGGTCAGTATCAGCTTGGTTCTCTAAACTTATCCACGGACCTGCCCCAGTGGAACTATCTCCTCCCTTATGACAAAATCATTTTCTTATTTACCCAGGTCTTTTTTCTTGATTGTGTAACTTTCTGGGAAACAAGAGAATATAATGTAAATTTGTTCTTAAGTGCCATCGAGTCAGTTCTGACCCATAGTGACCCTATATAGGATTTCCAAGGAGCGGCTGGTAGGTTTGAACCACAGACCTTGAGGTTAGCAGTCCAATGCTTATGCTACAGCACCAAATATATTTAGTAAGTATTTAGATGTGTTCATGACTGCTCAAGTCAGTTACTTATAGCAAACTCTCATGTTTGGGAATATGAGTAGCTGGTTTGTAGTATTTATCACTTTTATATTCATTTTTGGTATTAGCAATATATTCAAGGGGAAATATTATAAGCAAATCAATTAAAAACTTAACCCCACTAGCCTTAGTACATTAAAAAGGCAAAGATTGGAAATATTTATAATTATTTCTTTGTAGTTGTTTAAGGTTTTTTTTTTTTTTACATAAACGTAAAGGGTTTTTAAAATTAAATGAGTGTTGTTATATCTTCAGTCTCATTTTGTAGATCAGTATGCGGTAATTTCTTCTCGTTGGTGTTCAATTATCACCCACAACTATCTGGAATATAGTTAAAACAAAAGCATAATAATAATTTAAAAGGGCCCTTAAAATACAAAATACATACATTCAATAAAACACATGCATATATTTATTGACTGTTCTCGCATGGGCAAGGTATTTTGCTGAGTGCTGGGGATATAAAATAAATGAGAAGCAGCTTCCTGCTTTAAGGCACCAGGTCTTCAAAGTCTGCGCACTGCTACATGTACAGTGAGCTCAGAGGGAACGTGCTCATCCTTCTAGGTCCATTCCGGCTTTAGGAATAGTTGGGATCATTTTTAGAAGCAATAAACTAGGTCATGGTGTTTGAGTTACATGCTGACCAGCATTAAGAAGCGGCAGCTGGAAATGTGGCCGAGGGTAAGATTGGAGAGTGAGTAATAATTATCTGTTGCAAGAACTCAGTGCTTAGCATTCAGGGGCTACTCACTGGCAGGCCCAGCAGTCCACGTGAAGGATGACTGTGCCTGGTACCACTGTGTGATTTGCAGTGATGCTCATGATGACCTTAAATTTATTCAGGAAAGTTTGTGTGTAGCGTGTTTGACCTGGGAAGGTAAAAGCAATACTTTTAAAACACAAATTGAGCAGTATTCGGTTCCCAGTATTGTTCAAAGGGATTTTTGATCTGTGGACTGCTTTTGCCCCATCTTTAGAGAAGGCAACTGAGGCACAGAATTTAAGGAGCTTGTGACAGAGTATGGGTGCAAACCTGTAAGGTCTAATGCCATGGCTTGTGCTCATAACCACCATATGACTTTAAGTAGATTTTCCTCAAAAAATTGTTACTTTAAAAAATTTTTAAATTACATTTTCCACATAAAGGGAGTAAATCTCAATTATTTAAAAATTCACTTCTGTAGAGTAGCTCATTCCCTGGTGACTAATAATAAACGTTGAATTGTTACTGTTTTATGCCATGGAGTTTCATAGTTACCCTGTATAGGATTTCTGAGAGCAGCTGGTGAATTTGAACCGCTGACTTGCCAGTGCAAACTAACCTTGCAGTCCAGTGCATTATCCCACAGCACCACATTACTTGAATTTGAATACACATTATTTGTATTTAATTATATGTCTGTACAGTTTTTACATATATATGTGGTTGCTTATGAAATGAGAACAAAGCCATGTGTGGAAGAAAAGCACAAATAGATTGACAGTGAACTTCTGTCTGAAAATAGCATCTGTCCATGAGTTCCTAATGCTTTTTCTGTCAGCTTCTCATTAAAATGAAAAAGACTATATTTCATGCTCATTGCTAGTGAAAATGGATTGCCAGCTGATCTGGTCAAAACTAACCTGAGTCAAAACGCAAATCCAACTAGAGGTGACCTGTGAGCAACATGGACCCTCTCACATGGGGGTTTATTAGACTGCTGTGCAATGCTGACCATCTCTGCATGAGCAGGCCTTCTTTCCAGTACATTGAGTATCGCAGTAATGAAGGATCGCTTGTGGTTCTCATGTCGTTTTCAGCATGGTTAGTGCAATACCATGGGACCCCTGGGAAATGCCACTAGTGATGCTGGAGTACTCTCTAGATGAAGAGCAAAGCCGTGACATGACAAGAGAAAGTTGGCCTGAGCTCTGCCTCTGTGGTTGCCCACCATTTCAAGATAAATCAATTTGGGTAAAAAAAGCAAAGGGAATTCATGAAGCCAT